AAAGTATCAACAGTATTCCCTGTACACTAATCCCCTTTGCGAAAAAAAATACGTATCAGTCATACCACTGGTGAAGAAAAATTGGCACATTGTCTAACAGAACCCCAACCACTTGTCGGTGTGTGCTACACAGGAGCGTATTAACAGTCAATTACCAGAGTTACCAAGTTTTCGGTTAACTTGTTAGATGGATCTTTTGCGATTGTGGCTGCTACGATGAACCGGAAGGACCAGCCGCCTTGAAAGAATTACTAGGCTTCGTGATAGTGCTTAGGAGATTAAATATGGGGAGGATATCTTATATGAGTCTTTACTTTAGGGAGGGTGTTTCGACGCCAACTGAAAAACCTGTGGATGCCAATCAATACTACACCAGCCCTGACCCGTGAGCATAAGTGAATCTGGATATTTCCTATCCCCTTTAAATGTTCCCCTTCAAATTTGAGGACTTTGCTACATGAACTATCACAAAAACCTTTCTATCCACAGATTCTTTAACACGAAGAAAAAGTAGAAGGAAATGGATTGGCTTCAGCGATCTCCACTACATCTGGTTGAAGCTTCATGAGCCCAATTGACTTCATATTCAATAGAAACACTTAATAGAGAACCTGTATGATCACTAAGACAATAGTGTTAGAGTAGGAGAGTACTGGATCACCTTATTGCTACACAAAAATCGATTAAGTACTTCCTTTTATCACAGAATCAATAAGTTGAAAGAAAAAAATGTACGACGTTAGAGAAGCTCACCTTTTCATTCAATGGACATATCTGCAAAACATCGAACTCTTCCCTGCAGATGTAATTTAATCTGGTAAGTGCGAACGTGAGCATTTTGGTGTCCCAATAATACCAAATGCCTTATCAAGCAGTTTCGAAACACTGGTCGTCCTACTAGTGAGTCCATTCTTCTCACTTCAGTTCAAATTTTCTTGGGTTCTAACCTTTCTAGTACCTTCAGTGAAATTGATTTGGGGGGAGCCGAAGTACAAAGGATCGACAGTATTCCCCTTTCACTCGTCTATTTTTCGAAAATAACCTCGTAACAGTCACACCACTCGTAAGGGCAATCGGCACGATGTCTAGCAGAACCCCAACCACCTGCCGGTGTGTGCCACACCTCAGCTCATTAACAGCCAATTACCAGAGTTAACATGATTTCGGTTTACTTATAAGATGGGTCTTTTGAGCAGGTGAATGATAATCTTTTGTTAAACGTAACCGTAGTTGTATTATGAACACGGTTGCATATATTGATGCATGTGGTCATGCAGCATCTTTTCAGTGTTTGCATCTTTAATTCCCGCTGGTCCTGAAGACATCGCATTTACGGGTACGGAGATAGTGACGGGGTCCGGGATTAAGGTTCGGCGGGAAATACTGGAAGCCGGGATATTCAAAGCCATCAACACACATGTTGGGACACCCGCCGATATTAGGCCTCTTCTTCGGGTGGTTAAAATGCGTGGATGAGTCCTGACACATAGTCAACCGCCATGAAGATGCCGTGAGTCGGCGTGGATAAAAATTACTAGGAATATAATTCGCTATTAAGACGACTGCCTAGCTCCCATTGTAAACTATTATATCAGAAACAGTCTAGTTGGATATATATAACTTACGACTTATTTCTTTGTAGTCGCTCTGTCCTCTTTCGTACCAATTCAACAGTCTATTGCATTCCCCACTCGAAACTGTTGAGCAAGCTGCGGTTAATTTAGGTAACTCGCA